CGCCTTGTGTTATACCACCATATTGCTCTATTAGTAAAACATTTTATGAAATATTTTTTTTTGTTTTGATAGTAACATTAATACTATTATGCCAAGACTATGTCTGGTAGCAGCAGAAATAGTTCTGGAGGTGTTAAGAGGAAGATGGTTGTGATATCCATTATAGATAAGTTACTTGTTATAGAACTCTGACACTGGTCCGTGGGAGTGAGAGTTGCTAAGGAATTTGGTATAGACAATAGTACTGGCTATGATATAAGGAGACAAAAAACTGAATACATGGAATACATTGCAACCAGTGAGGGTGCAAGTTATAGTAAGGGAGGTTCAGTAGTGAAACTCTGACGCCTTCACACAATGTACAGCGGGATAAGGCTAAGTACAAGTGGTCTGCACAGCACCGCACAGCTAGGGAGACAGTTCACAATGCATAAATAAGAAAAGCTGCGAGTCGGTTTGCAGCCAGCCTTGGTATACAGGATTTACAGGCAAGTGATGGGTGAATTGCAAGAGTTTAAAGAGAGGCACAATACTGTGAAGAGGAAATTGAACAATTTAAACATAAATTATGAGCATAAATTTTATCTAATAATTTATATTCGTGTCAAATCTATAACTCCAATACAGCCCAGTGATGAAACTGGGCAGAATTGGAGGAGTTTGTCTGAAAAAAAATGTAGCTGTGATCGAGTGTTGTGTGCCAGGGTGAGGTTTACAAGGACAGACTGTCAGTCTTGGAGTGTACCAATGCCGACGGCACACACACAAGCATGTGAACAACTTTTGGTAAATCCAAGAAACCAAGAGTTAAAGGAACATTGCTTGGACAATCTGCTTGTAAAATATCATAGCTAAAAGAATCTATGGTTTACACATATCTTTGTTGGTTTCATGATGTGTTTTGCAAGGACGTTCATGACCATCAACTTAAGAAACACGAAGAAGGTGAGGCCAGGGGAAGTTCGGGCTTTGATGTTGTTTGATAATGCACCTGCTCACCCCAGTATTGAGTCCTTAACCACACATGATGGCAAGATAACATGCATGTCACTTCCTCGTAATACCACCTCCTCATCCAGCCTATGGTTCCGGGAGTTATCTGTGCCAAGAAGACGTTGTACCCAAAAAAATGATCAACGAAGTTTTCATTGTTCTGGCTCTCGAGGAAGATGAGGATCTTGGTGTCGATACCAGGGCTAATAAAACCTTTAAGAATTTTAAAAACATTTGTGGGGTTCCTGGTGTAATTCTTAATGCAGAATATAACTTAAATGAACTCAAATTAAATTCAGACTTAGTGTAACTTAATTCAAAACAATTCTATTGGATAAAATCAAAAGTTTAAACGACAGACTACACAAATTATTCGAGGGATCTGCTACTAATTGATTCAACGGAAATAAACGAAAATGCGAGTTGACATAGGTGGGTGTGATGGTGAAGACTGGCATCTAATGCCATATCATAGTGGTCCAGCAACTGCGACAGGCAAGAGCGCCCTGTTCTGAAACCATGTTGTCCGGGGTTATGGAGATGCTGTGATTCCATGTATTTTGTGATCTCACTTCTTAGCACTCTCTCAAAGAATTTTATGATGGTTTAGGGCAAACCTGTCCCACATCTGTAGCAGGTCATTTGCATGTGCCTGTTCATTTAGGCTACTTCCTGGTATTCTTTCTGATATAACTGTATTAGCCAGGTGCTTCCATTTCAGGTGCCATAGGTTGAAGTCCCCAAGCAGGATGATGTTCAGGGCTGGATTTGTGAGGTTTTCCAAGCAGTGCTCTATTTTCATTAGTTGGTCTTTAAACTGCTGATGATTTGCCTCCGGTGACTTACATACAAGGACAATAACTACATTTAAGATCTGCATTTTGACTATCAGCACTTCCACCATATCATTTGTGGTGTTTAGCAGCTCAGTGCTGATGAGTGTGTCTTTGATATAAAGGCTGATCCAACCCCTGAAGCCTGTGTTTCCTGTCACATCTGAAAAGATTGTACTCCGAAATCCATATTTCACCATCATGGTAGTCCTTGGTGTGAGTTTCCGTTAGGGCTACAAACACTGCATTTGCCTCGTGTAGGAGACCATCTATGAATTGCACTTTGTTGGATTTGCATGCTTTTATACCCTGAATGTTGGCAAATAAAAATGATGCTATGTTTGTGGAAGTGTTGGATGCTTTACTTGGTGTTAATATCTGAGGCTCTGGTAAGGAGGCCACTGTGTTTGTGTCCTCTCCAGCATTTGACCGAGTTGGTGGTAGAGTCTGGACATTTCTAGCCATTCTTCTCCTCCTCCTCTTGCTATAAAATCATCCTGGTAAACAGTGTTGTGGCTGCTTTCCTCGAGGCGGTTTGTCAGTCTTATTTGCCTGGTACCCCTTGTATGGAAAGATGGACATTCCATATTGAAGCATTCTTTCCTATCTAAGGAGTTCTTGCAAAGTTCTGGGTGAAAAAATTGACAGCTTTCGGTACATTTACCCGTACTAAGGAGGATTCTGCAATTTCGAGGGTGATCGTACTTACATATTCCATTTGTTCTTCCCGATATCCCATGTTTACAAGTATCCCAATTATAATAACCACAGGTTTCGGGCCCCTTGTTTTGTTCCCCTTTGCGCGAGACCGCGATCTGCTGCGGCGCCACTCCCGACACCACACTCTGCTGTGGCGCCACTCCCGACACCACACTCTGCTGTGGCGCCACTCCCGACACCACACTCTGCTGTGGCGCCACTCCCGACACCACACTCTGCTGTGACGCCACTCCCGACACCACACTCTGCTGTGGCGCCACTCCCGACACCACACTCTGCTGTGGCGCCACTCCCGACACCACACTCTGCTGTGGCGCCACTCCCGACACCACACTCTGCTGTGGTGCCACTCCCGACACCACACTAAGCTGTGACGCCACTCCCGACACCACACTCTGCTGTGGCGCCACTCCCGACACCACACTCTGCTGTGGTGCCACTCCCGACACCACACTCTGCTGTGGTGCCACTCCCGACACCACACTCTGCTGTGGTGTCACTCCCGACACCACACTCTGCTGTGGCGCCACTCCCGACACCACACTCTGCTGTGGCGCCACTCCCGACACCACACTCTGCTGTGACGCCACTCCCGACACCACACTCTGCTGTGACGCCACTCCCGACACCACACTCTGCTGTGGCGCCACTCCCGACACCACACTCTGCTGTGGCGCCACTCCCGACACCACACTCTGCTGTGACGCCACTCCCGACACCACACTCTGCTGTGGCGCCACTCCCGACACCACACTCTGCTGTGGTGCCACTCCCGACACCACACTCTGCTGTGGCGCCACTCCCGACACCACACTCTGCTGTGGCGCCACTCCCGACACCACACTCTGCTGTGGCGCCACTCCCGACACCACACTCTGCTGTGACGCCACTCCCGACACCACACTCTGCTGTGGCGCCACTCCCGACACCACACTCTGCTGTGACGCCACTCCCGACACCACACTCTGCTGTGGTGCCACTCCCGACACCACACTCTGCTGTGGCGCCACTCCCGACACCACACTCTTCTGTGGTGCCACTCCCGACACCACACTCTGCTGTGACGCCACTCCCGACACCACACTCTGCTGTGGCGCCACTCCCGACACCACACTCTGCTGTGGCGCCACTCCCGACACCACACTCTGCTGTGGCGCCACTCCCGACACCACACTCTGCTGTGGTGCCACTCCCGACACCACACTCTGCTGTGGCGCCACTCCCGACACCACACTCTGCTGTGGCGCCACTCCCGACACCACACTCTGCTGTGGCGCCACTCCCGACACTTAATGGAACTAGCAAAAGGAAGTAAAGCCACAAAAATATATTATATTTTTTATTGCAAATACTTCAAGATTCGGCTAATATTATTAGCTGAATCTTATTTGTATTATTCTGTTCATGTGAATATTGATTTTTTGGCTTCAGATCCATTACGATTCATGGCTCAGATCTTTTACCGCGTTCATATGTGGCCATTTAAACATTGTGCAGAATATACTTTCCACCTTTTTATTTATTGTCTGAAAATTTGCAAATTTTGCTGTTGAGTCCTTTGTCTAAATCGTTCAAATATGTTTAACAACACAGGTCCCATTATATAGCACATTTACACACAATTTGCAATGCGTTTTCATTCAGAACTAAGTCCATATATGATAATTCTTTGTTTAATTCGAAATAATATTTGCCTAATGGACTTAACAACAATCCCACAAACTCTAACTTTTGCGTATTTCGTGAAGTAAGTTATCAGAGGATTTGCTAAACTAAAGGTATAGAATGAAATCATTCTTTCAATTCTAAGGTGCCTGAAATATTCTGGACTCGAATGAGAGTAAGTTTATCAAAGACGAGCGGCCTGTAGTAAAACCATGTTGTCAATTTTGTATCAATCTATGGTTTTTTACAACGTAAACAAATGCCTCATGCAATTATCGACTCAAGTAATTTTCCTAAAATAGACCATCAACTCCTTAGCCGAAAATTAGAGTCACGTGATTTGTCTCAATTCTCAAACATCGGTGGCACCTTTGTAACAATACAAGCAACCTGGACCTCACTGTAACTCATGTTTACCTCCTCTCATTCACATACACTTTACTCACCAACACCTAGCACTGTATTCATCCACACTCGGTACTGTAGTCACCCACATCTGGGACTGTATTGACCAACATCTGAAACTCTACTCCCCCACACGTGGTATTGTATTGACCTGAACATAGTACTGTACTCACCTACAACTCTGAGCCAGATGTAGTGCCTCAAGGGCGGTGTTGTAGACACCTGACACTCGTACATCCCGGAGTCCCGTACCTGAGCGAACCTGACGGTGAGAGCCCAGTCCTCAGAGCCAGCTGTGTGTACAGCCCTGAACCTCTGGTCAGATGTGTAGGTGTACGGTCCCACCGTCAGCAGGTGTGTATCCCTGTGTCGCAGCCATGACACCTGTGAACCGGAGACACCTGTACTAGTGAAGTCATTGATGGTGTGTTGCTCGGTGTATCAGCCAAAACACCTGTAGGGAATGGGACACCTGTATTAGTGAAGGCATTAATGCTAAAAAGCTTGGCTTGTCAGGCGTATTGATACAAGTGTTGTCGTCTTGCCCATACATTGAGAGCGTCGGGGATGTGATAGTTGCCACTTGGGCATGTGAAGGCTCGCACGACTATCGTCTTCTTGTTGGCAATCTGTCCGGTTTTGGGAGAACTCTCCATCAGTATGTTAGTGGTCTTCGTACTCCTGCTGTCCTGACTATCAACTTACTTACGAAGAACTCTTCAGACACCAAACTCAACACCTTGAAAGAGACGAAAGCCGTCTATGCCTTTACATTCTAAACTGGGAAATTTCAGCCCCAAAGCTCCAAAAATATAAAGGCAGAATGACAAGCCTCTTTCAAGGTGCCTGACACAAGGAACAAGTTTCTAGCCAAGGTGTTATAACATCAAGACACAGACCATGAGACACTGACCAGCATGACCCAGATAGTCTACACAAACTGCTGCACCATCTTCTAAACATACAAGATGTAATTCACATAAAATACACTAATTTAATTACCAACAACCAGCTACACATTTTATTTATTTTTCCTTCAGTAAGACCAAGAGAGAGCTGGTTGTTTTCATTCCCTCTACTGCATCAGTCAACCCAGCCTCCTGAAATGATAATACTTAATATTTCTATTTGTTGGAAAAGTACCAATATGTAGTGATGGTGCGCCAGTAAGCCACTTTTTTTTGTACTATTAAAATTATAGACTCCGGAAAATTAAACTAAAAGCCCAACTTAAATATTCCTAGGGTTTGTATAACACATACGTACTATCTTAGGACTAAGATAACAAGTATTATTCCTAGAATTGCTAGGAGAGTTTATGTTTATGTTGTTTTAAATTGAATAACAGTTATTCAATTCTTTTCTTCACCTAAAACAACATGACTTTTGCTGAACTCCTCTTCCAGCTGAACTCTGATGCAAGAGCATTAGTAAGAGGGATAGAAGCCCTAAATCAGAAAATAGTAAATACGGAATATGCTGTCATATTCAATGAGACATGCATATATATATATATATATATATATATATATATATATATATATATATATATATATATATATATATATATATATATATATATATATATATATATATATATATATATATATATATATATATAGGGAAGGGAGTACCACCTCTGGCTGGAAGAAGGGGGACCCATAGCCTCGGAGGAAACCACACATAACGCATTGGAGGGAATGTGGGTCCCCTCCAATACAGTTTCTGTGTGCTTTTCTCCTACCACCCCCTTCCTTTTTTTTCCCCTTATTGTGTATTTAAAGGTTACAAAACATACAAGACAAATGCCTAAAGGTTATGGATCTCTTGACGCTCCTCCGCTTCTGGACAGGAACCGAGGACGCAGCAAGCATTTCCCCTCTGGATCGCCACACTGAGACGCTGAAATAAAAAACTGGAAGCCCTTGGGTCTCTGGTGACGTCAATGAGCTTGGACCCCAATTCCTTGAGAAATCCCAAGGCACTCTTGCCCCAGGGGCCATGCGTCTCAGACGCTATGGGAACAAAGAGGTATTGACCTTCCAGTCACCTGTACTTGAGTGATTTTGCTGTTTCCCTGTGGTTGGCCGCCCCACCTGCTTGATCAGCTCCGAAGTGTACATAGGTGTCAGCCTGGGTGGATACACATGTGTAGTCCCACACCAACTGTCTACCCTCCTTCCATGAGTATATGGTGATGCCATCAGGGCGAAGTGCTGGGAAATCCGGGTTTTGGACCCCTAGGATGCGAGGTTCTCTCTCCGCTGGGCACCCAGCTGAGGCGAGGCTTCTCTTGATGATGTCATTGACCTCGTTGTGTCTTGCATGCCAGCCCTTTGTGCTTCCGCAATGCAACCCATGCAGTCCGTATTGGTCTGCTTCCACCCTGTTGCAAATACACTTGTATTCAGTGTGAATTGGGGCACCAAGGCGGAGGGCCACTGCTACACGAAGGGATTCTGGATCTAGGCGCGTGCCCATTGCAGACATGGGTACTGCCAGGAGGAAGTCTCCTGCATGGGGGGCACGCACTGCTCTGAGGCGGGCTTTCTCCTTGTCTGATGTTGCGACGCTTAGCATGGCATCAGCTACTTTTTCCACTAGAGGGTGGTCCCAGCCGGACTGTTTGTGTTGTTTTGTTGGCTCTATAATGGTTGCTGGGGCTGCAAGAACATTCCACTGATTTGAACATTCAGTGAAAGCAGGATCGTGTATTCCTGCTGAATCTCTCAGGGTTGCAGGTAAAATATCTCTGACGAGGTCGTGCGATGCATGAGAGGAGGAAAGGAAGGCCGGTAGAGCAATTTGGGAGGCTGTGCGGACACCAAGGCCGCCGAGTCTTACAGGAAGGGTTGCTTGCTCCCACTGAGAGTCGTCCAATGGCAGGTTCAGGACTTTCACCAGCGTGGACCTCAGAAGGGTGTCATAAACATTTAACTTAGGGCTGCTGTAGGATGGAGAACATCTCAGAAAGTAGGTCAACTTAGGGAGAGACAGGCATCTTGTAAGGAGAAAGAGAGCATCATGGGCATCAATCTTGTCAATCCTGTCCTGCATTCTCTTTAGGTCAGTGATTTTTGCAGCCAGGACCTCCTCGATTGCTCGTGGGCCAATGGGGGCACCCAGGAGAGTGCAGTCCGGTGGCTCGACAACGAGAATGTCTGGAAGAGCATTTTGTATTTGCCCAGTGATGTCTGGGTTGCGGGAGATTATTTCACATTTGGATGCATTGAGAATGAGGCCTAAGGCTGCTCCCTGCTCCTGGATTTCCTTATATCCTCCAAAATGGTTTCCGGAGTTCCAGCTAGAGTGCCATCATCCAGGTACCAGATGTTTAGCTCGCTTGTCAGACTATCAGTGACCTCTTTGATAGCTAGGCAGAAAAGGAGGGGGGCTAAGGGGTCACCTTGTTGGACACCTTCACAGGAGTTTATTTCATGCTCCCCAAAAAGAAGCTTAGAGTCCCCACTGTAGCACGATCGGATGAATGGGTAAAGGGGACGGAAATGGTTGTGTACAGCCCTGAGGACAGCGTCTCGTCTGACTTGATTGAAGGCATTTTGGAAGTCAAGCTTTACTAGTGCCTTCTGGTCCGGGAGATCAACAATGTAAGCCCGCGCTGCATGTGCTGCAGCTTCACAACCTAGGGGAATCCCAAACCCGAGCTGATGAGGTTTCAGCAAGGTGGCTGCTTCCTGGCTGATAGATCTCACTGCAGCCTTAGCTACAAGGCGTCGGAGGGTGTTGCCAACGGCAATGGGCCTGATACCCCTATCCTTCTTCTTTAGAGCACAGAGTGCTGCTCCATAAAAGACAGGCCTGATGTCCTCAGGGATGCCGCCAGCCAAACACATGTTGGAGAATCTGGTAAGTTCCACTAGAAGGTCCTTTGCAGCATCTCTAAGCACCGGGTTCAGCATTTGTTTGATGTGCTGGGGTCTTAGGCCTGTAAAGCCCCCTGCTGAACCTGTTGGGAAAGACATGGCTGCTTTGTACACCTCAGATTCTCGAACAGTCAAGGGTTCTATGCCAGCATTGTTTTCCTGGGGATCCCTGCTGCTGTCGGGGGCTCTGGGTGGGTGTTTGTCTTGAAGAGCCTCTGCTGTCGTGGCATTCCTGGGGGCAATAGTGTCATCGCTGGTCATGATTCTGATGGCACCTGTGGTATTGCCCTCTTCTATTTTCCTGGTGATCTGTGCTCTCATTTTGTGGTTCTCAGATGAGTTATTGTTGGTCGTCCTGCGGCTGGTGTTCTTGGCACGAGGGGGGAGGCGGACCAGGTTGTCTGCTCTGGGGAATTCATTAAGAGCTCTGATTACAGAGGTTGCTAATGACTTGTCTCTCCTGGGCGGTAATGCTAGGCATGCATTCCCAAATAGAAGGAGATTGTGCCATGCTCCAATGGTTCTAGGAACATTGTTGACCTTTGTCAGCAGACTGGTGAGTTGGCTGCTGCTTGATGACGGGCAGCCTTGGGGATGTGGGGCAAGGTCCTGGTGGACGTCGCTTTGGTTGCTTCAAGCAGATTATCTGCTGAAATGAAGTTGAGGGAGGTATTGTTCCTCGCTCCTGCAGCAGGTTGTCCATCGTCACTGCCCCGGGGCAGGCGCCTAGACCCTAGACAACCACCTGAATTGAGAGAATGATAGCGGACAGTTCCATTTGAATTGAGACGATACCGTCTGTCACACACTTGACAGTTTCCTCTTGGGTGGCCATCTTCTTGGCTGGAAAGAGGCTGTGTGTCAGGTGCGACATGTGCCATGCCTAGATGTGATGACGCCTGGCTGCCCCCTGAGTGCACCCTCTCTTTCCCAGATGGAGAGTAACACGGCAAGCATTACCCTCCTGGGGGAGTTGGGCATGGCCTGGGCACCGTGTGTGGGTAGGCTGTGTGTTGATGGGCGGCTGGCTGGTATAGGGCGCAGGTAGCGGGGTGGGGGAAGATGGCGGGCGGGGGTGGTGGAGAGGGGGCACACGAGGGAGGCTGCCGTCACACTTGTTACACACTATCAAACACTCGGGGAAATCACTAGTGCACTTTGTTTTTAACACTACACTCACCGATTTGCTTATGAACGCACTAACTTTCCACTAACATCACTGTAGGCAGCTCGAGAGCCTCCCCCATCATTCCCCCCTTCCCCCGTACCCCGCCTTGGGGGCTGGTGAGTGGCGGCACTGAGACGGCGGCGACCCTCCCCTCACCCTCACCCATACACTGTACCTGCCTCGCCATACACAAAGCTCAGACAACGCACCTTTCAACGTTCATAGTGTTGGAATGAAGGAGATACGGTTCTTCTTGTCACCCCCGGGGCCTTCAGCAGGTATTCATACCTTCACAGGTCAAGTCTTGGCTGGCTCAGGCATCGTGATCCTCG